TTAAAGGCCACATATAAAAATTAACCCCCACAGAAATACACAATTTTTGTACACTGGTATGCTGCAGTACCCTTTACAAATCACATGCCCAAAAGCAAGTGATTATCTTCATACAAAGAAGATTGACATGCAAAGCAACTTGGTTACTGAATCAAAAGTCGCACACAAAAGCACTCTCCACCAAGCAAAAATGAGCCATGAATGGACAACATTTTAAACCAACTAATGACAAAGTGAACACCTGTTTTGTCAAAATAATGTGCATGAGTGGTTTCTGTATAGGGATGCCATCCTTACTTACTATGCATAAACATTATTGAAAAGTAATGATTTTGACATCTTTTTTCGTCCTTTGACATTGATTTCTGCATACAACTTATGGCTCATTTAGTTACATTCTATGACTTTTGATTCAGTAACCAAGTTGCTGTGCGTGTCAATTTCTTCTTTGTTATAAAGATAATCACTTGCTTTTGGGCACGTGATTAGTAAGGGGCATTGAGGCATACCTGTGTGCAAAAATTGTTCATATCTATGGAGTGGATTTTTATGTTTGGCCTTTGACAAAAGTGGCAAGTTCCTTTTGCTGTCCAGTTTAAATCTCATGACAATCTCGTAAAAAAGTTTGTTTCCAAAAGCACAAATGAAGTTTCTAAATATAAATCTCATATAAATATATCGAACTTTTTAAAACTACATACTTGATGGCACAATAGGGATTTCATACTATCAGCAAGTAACACTGTATACATAATTTACGTCTGCACTGAACAATACTGCATACAGTACATGTTTGATGGAAGGATATTTGAATCATACCCTGAGATTAATGTTTTGTGACATTTTGACACCTTCCTGGACAGGGATGTATGTGTCCCTCGCAGTAACTAAAAATATTATACATAGTGTGGGTTAAATTTTTTTCCAGAATTCTTTAGACGTTTTTTCTAATCTTTTGTTTGGGGGGGGGCAAATTTAAGAAAACACTTACTGCAGACAACCTATTGGAAATTTTCATCATGTTTAGCAAAAAAATAACATTTTGTAGCATCAGTTTTACCCCCTCCAAAAATCCCAGAGCTTGGCTTTGCTCAACCTGTACATAAGAAAATATTCCATGAAATCTGCCGACAGAATATGCTTGGATTTGTCAATGGATTTCTTGGAAGTAATAAGGGCCCTGCCAATTAATACTTTTCCGACGGTAGCTAGGAATCTTGTGTTGTACCCTATCTGGGGAAAGTGGTGCTTTTTAAATATCACGTAACAATTACAATTATAATTGATGGAAGTGGTGTTGCATTCGTGTTACACTCGCAACAAGATTTCTTGAAAGGAACTGGGAAAACCTAATGTACTCTAAAATCGTTTAAAAGAGTAACACCTACCAATACAGGTACATGTATAAATAACAATTCTAAAGGACCACTGATATTGATAACTACAAATGTGTCAACATGTCACAAAACATGCCTTCAACTTCCCATTCGGACACAATTCAGTTTCATCTTTAAAATTCAGCTGGTCTAATTGGTGAAATTTGATATTAAAGCTGCACCACTACATATCATGTTTCTTGCACAAATGTCATAACTCGTTCTCATCTAGAT